AAAAAAAAAAAAAAAAAAAAAAAAAAAAAAGAGACAAATAGCAGAAGGGATACGAAAACAGCCAGCAGGGCTGCAAATGAATGCTAGCCTCATATGTACTAGCAGCCAACCCTAGGTCCAATAATGTAAGCTTCTTCAAAATGGCTCTGAAAACTCTGGAGTGTGTTTTGACAGCTAGCCAAACCCCCCCCTCCAGTGAATCTGTACCACTGGAACCATAACGCAGCAGACTCCCATCAACTCGGACAAAACGACTGAAGCACATTTAAGTATTGTCAGAAAAGGTCTTCACTAATCTCATGACATGTAAAAACCAACCAGCTCGTAGACACACTGGGATGGCAAAAAACCACGGACAAGTATAGTGAATTAAAAATAACATTAGTAACATCACTGCCATTGAATCCATACATTTCATTGAATTACTAAGTCCATTTCAGAAGATTGGGGAACCCCAGAACTGTGTCACACCAATTATCATGACACGGTTTGTTTCAGTTCATTCCCCCCCCCCCCCTCAAGATTGAATTGTAATCTTTTCCTGACCACTACACATCAAAACACACCAGAAAACAAGTTAACCCAATACAATACACACAATCCAAGGTTCACAGTCCGAGAAGGTGCTGTTTGAAAAGAGCCTCAGGTCCTCTATGTCCACGTGTTAAAGTGTCCGAATCGGTGAACCGGCAGTTTCACCTTTCAGCAAGAGCAATTCATGTGGTGGACACTGAAAAAAGACATTAAAAAAAAAAAAAAAAGAGAATAAAAAGACATGTTCAGGATAATGGCGCTTCACCTTGTCAGCCACGTCTTTATTCGTCTTCTAACAGCTCTTTCTCAGTTGCTCTGGTCGGGAGAATAAACAGGCTGTAGCAGCTTGCCGTCCATGTCTACTCCTCTTCTTCAATCTGTATTTCAATCCGTCCGTCCCAGGTCCTCACACCATGTAGGAGTTCTGGTTCTTCAGCTTGTCCAGCTCTTTGCTCTGCTGCCTCAGAAACAGGATTCTGCAGTTGAGGAGAGAATGAGTGTGTGAATAATGGTTGGGGGGACAGTGAAATTGAGGGTTGATTTCTCACAGCGGTAGGAGTTTTTTGTCCACGCTGCTCTTTGTGGATAGAGTCGGTGGCAGACTTACGTATTCTGTTGGATGGTGAGGTTTTTAAAGATGGAAAGCAGAGATTTGTGATGTTTCTATCCTCAATCCCAACTTGTTTGTTGCACGGCTCTCATTTTGTCAAAAAAACCAAAGAATCGACAAACAGGTGCAATTGCATTCAGAGGACATCTTTCCAGCTGGAGTTAGGGCTCCACGGGTAATTACTCGGGCTGTACCGAATAGTTTGACGCTTCATTCATAACGTTGACATTCAAATTATTAAATATCTCTCTCTCTCTCTCTCTCTCTCTCTCTCTCTCTCTCTCTCTCTCTAAAAGTCAAGATTAATTGAACCAAGATAGATGAAATCTATTCTGCTTCAATCCATACTTTCTGGTGTTTTGCATTTCAAAAACTACCTTTTCACTCTCCTGCATGCTCTTGTATGAATAGGGTGGTCTAGCAGCAATCTAACAGCACCATAAACTACATTTCTACGACAATAACACAAACTCAGACACACATTTTTTTGACTCGTTACAACAATGTGGCGAAGCAAGAGAAGAAGAGAGGGAGAGCGCACAATTCATAACTGGCGATGCAGAATTGAATATGTTCCGTTATTGTGGCACAACAATATGAACGTGTGATGCGAGCGTGGGTGAAGATGTAACGGTCGCCTCACCTCTGTTCCCTCAGTGTGGCTTGGATTTCACACACTCTGACCAGGGAGCGGAGGTTTTTCATCTCTGTGCAGATCTCAGACATGTACAAGCTGCCCATGTTGTGGATGTCCTCCCGCAACCGAGCCGCCTGACGGAGAGGGATGAGCGCTTATTGTCAAGTCAGGACTATAGATGTTATTTTTTTAAATCACACAAACATCAATGTTTTGAAAACAAAGATCAACATTGGCTCACTGATACTGAATTCATCGAGCTGAAGGTTTATTCTTGAGAAAAATCACCATCACAAGGACCACTTACTTGGTCTTTACAAAGCTTTCAACCACAACTTCCTCTGAGCTTCCTCTTCAAAAGGAAGATGATTTAGCGATTATGGTTTATTGCAACCTCTGAGAAAAAGGCCACGAGATGAGCCTGAAAGCTTCGGAAACAACAAGTAAGCGGACCCTGCGATGACTTCAAGTCTCTATTTGGGCCGGCAGCCCCGTGAAGCGGTTGTGCTTCAGTAGCTCCGCAATGATGCTACTGCTAGAAAATACAGAGGTAACCAACTTGTAACACTTAAACACTGCTACGTAACGTGTGTGTGTGTGTGTGTGTGTGTGTGTGTGTGTGTGAATCTCTGTGGTGGACAATACCTGTTTCTCAGTGTTCTCTGAAGGCCATCCTTGGATATGTTTGATGAGGCTCTCATCGAAATGAGACGCCAGGGAGGGGGTGAAGGTGCAGGGGTTGTCGGCCTGGGTTTGGCTGCTGCCGGAGGGGACATGAGCCAACGCGGCACCAGATGCGTTTGATCCCGTGCACAGAATCTCCTGGCTGATGGAGGGAGACAACTTGAGACAACTTCTTTCTCCCTTTTTATTATCATAGAATATTTCAAACACAGCTCATCATATTTTGATTCAATTTGGGTGAATAACAAACGTCACCAATGTATTCAACAATGTCATGAGAAGTCAAAGTGAGGCCCTATGATAGAACATAACATACTTCTGGTCCAGAGAACTACAGATTAAATAATTACATATTAAAAGTAGGCGCTCTGGACAGGCACCCCGCTAACAGGCACTGCACTTGTTACTCTAGATAATACACAGACGTCTTTGGAATAACTTCTACCAAAACAAATGGTCTGTTTGAAACCTGACGCATGCTGCTACTGAAGTTTGTAATGTGTTTTTTGTAATTCAGATGTGAAAAGCCTTCTCGCTTTTTATTCCTTTGCTTTACCTCCAAGCAATTTGTCATCACAAACAAAACAATGTCTTCTACCTTCTCTGCTGGAGAGTTCTGGGGTCCTCTGGGCGCTTCTCTGCGGTCTGAGAGAGGGGCACTGATCCTTGTTTACCTGAAGACATGCTGCCCTGAAGACGGAAGAACAGACGGCAAGAGACAAATAAATAGGAATGAAGACAGGAGGAGGGACGAAACCGGGACGAAAAAACGTTACAGTCATAACGAAGTGGAGAAGAATGAGAAAGTGAGGGTGAGAAGTACTACTCCATTCTTCAAATTATTGGACTTTTCGGCTACTTTTGGTTCTGCGACTCACCCTCGTTTGTGAAGATGTGATGCTGCCGGGGTGCACGCCCAGAAGAGACTTCTGGCTGCTCTGTGGCGTGCCGTTCCGCGGTGAGACATACGGCCGCGGTGATGACGCATCAGACGTCAGGGAGACGGGGGACTGACTGGAGTGCTGGGCTGAAGGGGGGAGAAGAGGTTCATTACTACGCTTTCCTTTCGTTTCGATCATCTTACACATGACGAATATCAAGAAATTAAAACAAAACAAAGCCTGCAGTCATTTTCCTTATTCGGAGTGAAGAATAGCACACATACGAATAATCAGTTTAGCAACAAGGCCGTCACAAATCTGACGACAGCAAGCAATTTAGAAGACGACATTTTTTGTTTTGCCATAGACACTTAAGGCATAAAATGAAGAACTTCATTGACTGAAGGTCAACAACACATTGTGTCTTACACTGCATTTAAAAACCTGATATGCAGGAACAGGGAGACCAAATAAAATAATAATGTGTTTGTGTAGCAGATGGTGAGAAACATCGAGGCGGCCGTACCTTGATTGGAGTGCTGAGCAGCTGAGAGCAGAGCGGTGATGTTGAAAGCAGGTCCAGCAGTGAGGAGCTTATGAAGCACAGACCGCAAGGATGCTTGGGTGACAGCAGCTGCCAAGACTGGAGGGAATACACACACACACACACACACACACACACACACACACACACACACACA